GTATATTTAGGCTTAAAACATCAATGAAATACATAATCTATAAAAAAAAAAGAACTAAAATTATCTTTATCAAGAGGTATTTGTATCCTATGCTCATAAGTCTTAAATACCATTACATTTTGATAAGTTTAATTATTACAATTATAGCTCCATGAACAGAATATGTTCAAATGTAGTCATTCTTGCAAACTGGCCAGCATTTTTTTACCATACATAAGATAAAAATTACAATGGCAGAAAACATTTGTTAAATTAAAAATACTCAGAAATATCAATTGACTATTCATTGACTTACAATCACATACACACAAAAAATCTCTTGAAAAACATTTGCAAATGTACATGTAACAGAAAAAATAATAAAATTGACTACAATCCATAGGTTGTTTCATTCTGCAATATTAATGTTCAAAGGTTATCAAATCTTGAGATACTGTGGAGACATAAGAGTAGTTGAAGATAAGTCATATACATTTATTACTCATATTGAATCTAATATTTGCCTTTCATCTATTCCATGTTTAAAAACTGATAAGAAGAAGAGCAAATGTACCTTATCATACACAGTCTGCCTGGATATCTAACATAAATTATTTTCACAAAATAATATATCATTCAGAAATTTTTGAGTTACTACAAGATAAACACTTGGAAAAAGAACAAATTTTTCTATGTTTGGAAAGAACAAAACCATTACTCTTCATTTCATCCATGTGATCCAATTAATTGTACACATTTTTTAATCTCACGTTTCAATTATTATTATTATTACAGAATTTTATCTTCTCTTCCACATCATGCAATTTATGTTGATTAAATCATATTGTTACAACAGCGGAAGTCACGTGACGCTGGTAACACGTGATGAGTTTCTAGAAGATTCAAGAAGAGACGAGGTGTACGCTTTTATAATATATAAGACCGCCAAGAAGTGACAGCAACAATGGAATTGAATTGCAGACAGAGATAGAGACGAACAATTGAGTCAAGTGCGGTAGTGCGTGAATCGTTCGTTGTGAATTATAGCGTTTGGTTAAGTTAAACTGACTGTGGAAATTAAGTGTATTGCAAAGTTGTATTGAGAAAGAATAAACTAGTTTTATTTAAGAAAGGACTTGTATCGCTAAAGTTTCTTCGGAAAGAATTTTTACGGAAAATTAACAAACGAACAGAGACGTAACAATATGTTATACTTTCTTATAATAAATTACTTATACTTTCACCATAAAGAATTATAAGTGTGCTTATAGTTCTTCAATTCTTTCTTCAAGTCTTAACTGCAAATGCTAGGTATTTTTTAAAGTGAAAGTACATTTATACTCTGATGATAAGTTTGCTCTTCAAGTACATTAAGTGATTGGTTTATATAACTATGCACCAATTTCTTGAGAACATTTTTAGCCAGACTCTATCTCCATTTAAATCGCCTTTTCTTGCACTTATTATTCAAACTTTCCAGTTGACTTTTCTTTAGTTTTGCGCAATTACAATAATAATGTTTCGTCTTAAATCAAAAATTTAAAAAACACCATTTTTCCTGCTTATTTTATTCAATCCCAATTATCTACTTGTTTGATGAGTTTTGTTCCTCTAATGAATTAAACTTCTATCAAACTTTTATTCAATCATTGTTAGAATATACAATAATAATATTATATATCATAATTTCTCTGTTGTTCCAATCTAGTTACTGTAATGAATCATATTGCCTTGTTTATATTTACGTTCACACCTTATACATCTTATCTTCGAAGAATGACATTATTATTATTACCATGTAGATTGACTTTGGTATATTTATTATTTAAGAGTGAATTTTAATATGATCTAACAGCTTACTGACCTTTTGATTATTGATTATAAATGATTTGTTTATGCACCTTTTGGTTAGAATAACTATGGATATATATCATTCTTGCATACTGTTACATGTCTTATTTAAGATGGGAATGCTTTGAACTGCAATACGGTACACGGATGTAATAAGCACATACAACTGTCTGATCTTACAGTTCACAAAAGCTGGGGTAGTTCAACTGTTGAGACTATAATGTTAGTGAAAATGTGATATCAAGTACCCAGTGCATTGTTGGAGAGAGCATTTATGCTATCAATGACTATTAAATGTGTTGAGAACTTTTCATACGAGTCCTTCAAATTGCATGTACATACACACACATTTATATGTAATAGAAATAAGTAACCTTAAATAAACAACATTTCCTTCATTAATTGGTGTTTTCAAATTATGAATACATTTGATTCAGAAATCTGAAATCTCCCTATTTTCAAAAGCTTTGCCTTGTTGGCTCCTAGAGCAGAAGTGATTTTTTCTGTTTTAGGAGTCTGACTTAAACTCTGATGCCCAATCTATCTCCAGACATCTACTTCAGTAGACATTAATACCACCATGGCTAACTTAGGTTTAGTTTAATAAACAATATATATTGACTGGTCTCAATATTCAAACCAATTATAAGAATCACGATTGGCTGAGTGAACGAGCTATTCTTGCGGCCAAGAACAAAGACGTCTACGAACTTAACAATATTATTCAGTCTAACATTCAAAGCGAGGCAGTCACATACAAGTCCGTCGACGCCGTTGTGGAAGCAGATGAAGCGGTTAATTATCCAACAGAATTTTTGAATTCACTCGATCTGCCAGGGATGCCACCGCACGTACTACAATTGAAAATCAGCGTGCCAATTATCATGTTGCGAAATATCAACCAGCCAAAGCTTTGCAACGGCACGCGGCTTGCAGTAAAAAAATTAATGAGCAGCGTCGTAGAAGCAACAATCATGACAGGACCTTTCAAAGGTGAAGATGTCCTCATTCCTCGCATTCCTATGATTCCAACGGATATGCTATTTCAATTTAGGAGATTGCAATTCTCAATTTGATTGGCGTTTGCAATCACCATCAAGAAAGCTCAGGGCCAATCTTTAGAATTGTGCGGTTTAGATCTAGACACGGATTGCTTCTCACATGGACAATTATATGTTGCGTGTTCTAGAGTCGGCAAACCAGACAATCTCTATATCTGCACAGACAATGGAACAACAAAAAATACTGTATACCCACAAGCATTGTGAAATTAAACATATTAGAAACGTGCGCTTTCTCTTTTCTTTCTTTTCCATTTAACCAGACTACGCCACAGCAACGCGTGACCGGGTACAGCTAGTTAATATAATAAAACAATTACTGACTGGTACTTTCGGACAATAGGTCATTTGTTGCCCTTATAGTCAGTCAGTAATTGTTAATTGTAAGCTTAATGTAGTGAGAAATTAGGAAAAATCTAAATCCCTTAGCTAGCAGAATCTCGAGAAACATTACAGGAATTACAGCACAAAATATCGCTAACAGCAAGGGTGTCCAACCGACGAATTAATGCAATTTAAACGTTATAATTAAGAACGATATATTAAATTTGCTATATTTATTAGTTGGTTTATTTTATTTCTGATTTAAATAGGTATCTTCGCTATTTGCTTTGATCAGAATTTAATGAACATTTCTGTACTGGTTATCGCCAGGGGTCAAGCTAACAAGTCACAGGTGGCTATTTAGGGCAAAGGAAAGTTTGTTTGTTTGAAGTTAAGCACAAAACTACACAATGGGCTATCTGTGCTCTGCCCACCACGGGTATCGAAACCCGGTTTCTAGCGTTGTAAGTCCGCAGACATACCGCGGCAAAAGAAAGAGGCAGGAAGATTTGTCTTGCTTTAATTTCGTATTAAGGCTGACCCATGATATATGCAGCTAGGACTTATGTGGACGTGTAAAGTGAAGGTGTTGAGTTATCTCAGCACAGTTTGACCACACACTGATATCCTTGATCTATCTGTGAAATTACTCGCTCCAATAGCTTTAGCCTCTTTATTTTCCCCCTTTTAATAAATCAACAATAGAAACTGACCAGTGAAGACAATACAGTATATACTGTAAGTTTCCAAAGTACATACTATCCAAATACACGTGAAATGATTAATAAGGTTCGTGTTTTTGTTTGAAACAACTTTGTCCAGCCTCGTTATTTCACTGTCCTGTTTGACTTATTTCTTCTGAAAAATATTCTCCAGTTATTGTGTAACACTCTTATATTGCTCGTTCATGATCACTTTTACATGAGAGTAAGATTCCTGAAATCCTGCAATTTTCTTCAAATAATGTAATAAAATTAAATTAAACGTAGAAATATTGTTTGTAAACAACCACTTGCAACTCCTTTGCCACTTCCAATACCCTACAACAAATCTTGAATGAATGAAGTAGAATAATATTCAGAAAATCTTTACATTTCAGCCCTTTCAGGGGAAGGGTGTATAAGTAAATTATTTTCCCACTATCAGTAAACGCTGTAAATTTAACCAACGTAATTTTTCCTCCGACTTCTCAATTTCCTCTACTACTATCTCTTGACTTCTTCGAGTGGAATGTGGTGTTTTAGTAAGCCTCTTAGTATGCCTAAAACACGTAGAAAATTCTCCAAATCAGCAATACCGTTATTCGATAAACTTATTGTTTGTTTCCTTCTACGTGTTAGAGAGTAAGATTACATAGTTCAATATGAATGCTTATGTTATATATCCAAGACTTGATTTAGGTTACCGAGGAGTTCCGAGTGAATAAACAACCTCTGTAAATCTTTTGCCGGGACAACACGGTCTCGGATTATAATGAGGTCTATCATATTACTGATGTTGTTTTCTATTTGTAACTATAATTTGGTTATCGTCCTTTTATTTTAATGTTAGTGATTTCAAGTAACAACTGACGTTAGTCTTACTCACTAACTTCACAGGAATTTGGAAATTAATAACCGAGGTGTTCGAAAATTAAACAATTTTCCTTCGCCCTACTCATGTTAACAAGACATTATAGTGCGAGGAAAAATAAGAGACAAATAAATAAATTATAGATATTAATTTTGATAAAAAAAAAGAAACTAGCACACAGATATATGTATATACAAAATTACGTTCACTCACACATTTGCTACATTGGGTCTTATCTGAGAAACATTTCATCGGTTGAAAGTTTGGAGAAAACGTAAACTCTTAGCTTTGAGATCTTCGAAATCGTTATCAATAAAGCATACAGATACTTTTATGATAAACAAAGTTATTTGTTATTAAGAAGGAATCTATACTCTTGAAAGATCTAACTGCACAATAGTATATTGCCACACCTAAAAAATACTTGTAACTTTCCTTCACTTCAGGAAGTTTCACAACCAGTGTACATGACGTTTATTGAACACGAATCTTTAATACGCATGCGCCTTGATATATTACCCGCCAGTCAATTTGCTTCTCCGCCCATCATCTTCCTTCTACTTATATATCACCTAAATTCTATTTTAATTTAAGTAACTAGAATAATTTTTATTGTTGTGAACTTCTAACTGAATAAGTGGAATTGAGTTTTCGTATTAGTTTTTAATAAGATAAGTGAGATTGGAAAGAATACAATCGTTAGACAGATTAGGTTGTGACAATCTAATATCGCCTTTTGTCTTGGATAATAGCATATATGATCATCTAAGTCTGATCACTAAATAGGTACTAGGATGTCTTTATCTTTATTTTGAAGTAGTAACAGCCTGGACGAGTGCCTAACATTCCTATCTCTCTGATAAGAAGACCTGGGATCGGATCCCCTCTCCTATCATTATATACGGTTCTTCTGAGAATTTGCAATTAAAACATAAAATAATTAGTACCTAATTACTAATAAGACTATTCACCATGGGAACGACAGGGCTACTTTTTTGGTAGAATTCGGGTCTCATTCATTATCTAGTCATGTCATACTTAAGATCATTTCTTTATATGATCCTTTCCTCCAGTGGCTCAGCGATAAATCTGCAGGCTTACGACACTAAAAATCAGGTTTCGATACCCGTGGGGAAAAGAGTACAGATAACTTATTGTGTAACATTGCGCTTAACAACAACCAAATCACAACCTGTATGGTCCACAGGTACTATTCACATTTTTATAGCACATAATATTGTGAAACTGTAACCAGTTTCCAGGATGACTTTGATGTCGAGAACCACTTAGTGACGTCAATACAGCTTCTTAGAGCATATCGCACATGCTCGGCGAGGTTAAAGCCTAGGAAGCATGTAGACCATTCCATTCAGCCAATCCTCTCTTATTCAAGAAAGGAGTTGCTGAGTTTAGAATGGAGGAGAGATAAGTATTATCATCCGTTATCGAGATTGAAGTCAGGAATATTTGCACCAGCTTATGGCAGCATAGAGAGTCATAGGATGTGGTCCATGTTAAAATAATATTACTCCACACGTCTTGTCTATGAATATGTTATCGACACCTTTGCAAGACGACGGTTTGGCTGTTTTGTACCTTGATATGAGCGGAATGCACCACATTGAATGCGTGCTATACAATCTCAGAGCAGATATCTAATAATTGAAGCAAGCCAAACCTCACAGATAGCACTTATCAGACCATGTTGTGAATGTTGGTTTGCCTTGTCCTGGTGAGCAAGTAACTGTACCAATGATTTTAAAAAGCGGTTTAACATTGTGCGAATGATGGTTGTATCAATTCGCCACAACCTACTCTGCGATTAGCCAGGTTTTATACATCTGGTAACTCCACATATTAATGAAAACTCAAAATGTATTATTTTAGGTTTGACAACGGTCATGAGCCATTTGGAGCACTTCCAATTATGATTCACTTCAATTGACGATTAAGACAAGATCGTGTGAGAAAACTATGAGAAAAATATGGCATAAGCTGAATAGTCAATCGTTAACTTTTCAACTGACATGAGTGATCGTCAGATACATGATTTGCACAAAAACGAATTCTTTGTTGTTGTTGTTTTTTATTAAGCTCCAAGCTACACAATGGACTATCTGTGCTCTTCTCACCATTGGTATCAAGTCATGACTTTTAGCATTTGAAGTACTGTGTTCAGTCTTGGGCTCCCTACCTCAAAAATAATATTGAATTGTAGGGAAAGGCTTAGAGAAGGGTTACTGGGATGATACCTAGGATAGAAAGGCTATCATACGATGATAGGTTAAGGTTTCTAAACTTGTTTTCTCTTGAAAAAAGAAGAGTTAGACGGGATATAATGGAGGTGCTTAAGACTGTTAAAGGAATTGATGGTATTATTTATTTATTTTGAATACAGCAGATATAGACAGGTACAATTTTTAGTAATCATTCAAAAGTACTAGCATTCACAGAAAATGTGACGAAGAACTGTAGAAGAAAATAAAGAAAATGTTCAGAAACACTCTGAGTCTGCTACTCATCAGCTGTGTTCTGAAATATGGTATCATACAAGGTCAGTTCTTTGCCTAGGTAGCGTGAAAATATAGATATCGATAAGCAAAAATTTCTAACATGGTATTCATTCTCATAAAACAAGACATTTCTATCGGTGGGTACATGAGCAATAAGAATATACAAACCATAGCAGTAGTTGAATTATGGAATAGCTGTGCAGGTTATGATGCAACATTTGAAAAAGAATAAATGTACTGTATCTTTCAGTCTCGCTAACCATGATACAGTGAATATGTTATCAGGAACTGCCACGAATGTCGTGAAATATAATATTATTAAAAACATCTTAAGAAATCAGACTTTTCAACATTTTTGTTCATGAAACTCACAGTTTCAGGCAGGATTTGTATAAGGTACACAAACAAACTTGAAGTAAAAGTTCAGTTTCTGGAATTTGTTGATTGTTTGAGAAACGAGGATTATAAAAATATCAAGCTTTTATTTTCTTATTGCTAAGCGCAAAACTACTCAATGAGCTATCTGTATTCTGGCCACCAAGGGTATCAAAACTCAGTTTTTAGTGTTATAACCCTACAGATTTACCGGAGTTCCACTGGGGGGCAAATACTAAGCAGTTTCTACAGTTGTCGGTACTTTCAAATGTAGTTATAGTTGCAAGATCTGTTGACTGTGCAACTGTTATAAATAGATTACAGCATAAAATGTTGCAAGGTTGCCCAAACAAAATTTATTTATATTGCTTGGCTCGATAATTGCAGTTGTTGCTGGTAGAAGCCTGAAAGGTTAGCGGAACGATAGCAAGGTTTTTTTTTGTATATGTTCTTCTCCCAGCCGGGGGCACGTTACGTTTTTTGAGCTCCAAAAATATTAAAATCAAAGGTAATGCGCGATGAACTCTTAGATGAATAAAATGTAACTGGCTTTAAAAAACTCTCTGAGAAGCGCTTCTTATGAATTTGAACCAACACAGCCTCATACAGGCTTGTCACATCATCAACAGGACTAGCTTGCTAGTTCGCCAGTTTTCCGAGTGATGAGTAGGTTTAAAAATAAATAAAATGATAGTAATATACAACAGCCCCCTCCAGTATATCTGCGGACTTACAACGCTAGAAACCAGGTTTCGATACCCGTAGTGGGCAGAGCCCATTGTGTAGCTTTGTACTTAAACTACAAACAAACAATTAACAACTTCGTGTTAAAATAAAGACATAAATAACATAGTGTTAAACATTCCTTGCCCTAATTCTGAAGTGCAGTGACTTAAATAAAATTGATAAAAACTATACTTCACCAACCTAATCCACTCACATCGAAACAGTTGTTTTCGAGCAATTTACTAACATAAATAACGTCATAATCACTACTATGTCTGTTATATCCTAGCTGACCAGGAACGCCGTAGTATTGGGCGAAAAGCCTTGTTGACAATGGATATAGCATACATGGTGTGGTTGACACTATATTATACAGTGGTCTTCATTTTCACTCATATTTTCCTATAACGTACAGAAACTAGACTTTTACCTGTGCGTAATTGGATTTTGCAATATTCAAATCACATTTCACATTACTCTAAAAACACTTGAAATGTGGATGCAACTCTTTCTAGAGTTTCCACTGTGATGCAAAAGATGGTCAGAACTTCATAAGATATGCAAATAAACACGGAAGTGAATTACATTTGGAAAGAAACACAAACATACTGTAATTTGCAAGACATTATTGCCAATTCTGCTATCGGTGACGTATGCATAAACACCCCATTACAAATAAAGTTATGCTTGATGACATTGTGATAACTGATACTCTTGCACAGCCATATGTTTTCCAATAAGAACAAAAAAGCATGTTAAAGACAAATGACGTAAACAGCTCTATTTTGTCTATTCTGAATACGTTGGTAGGTGAATATAATATTAGATTTTCATTAAACTAGAAACAGAAGTGTTGGTGCAAATTTCAACGTGATCTATTGAATAACTATGTAAATTCCTTTTCAATAAAAAAAAGCTTGCTGTTACTAACTTGAAATTGGTGAACATTAATTAGCAATAAAACGAATTCAAACCACAAAAGCAGCTGTTTCAACAAAAGTATTTCAAGCTTTCAGAAAAGTAATACAAGTTACATTCTCTTTCTTGTTAGTACAGTGTAATATCTCTCGGATAACCAGCAGAGCAAAGAAGTTAGGCCAGCTAACAACAGGAGGTTCTCTGATCTCGTGTTTTAAGAGTTGTTAGAGTTAAATCAAAGAGAAAGATACAAAGCAGGCCTGGCATGGTTTGGTGGTTAGAGCGCTCGACTTGCAATCCCAGGTTCACGGGTTCGAATCCCTTTCACTGAACCTGCTCGCCCTTTCAGTCGAGGAGGCGTTGTAATATGATGGTCAATTCCACTATTCGTTGGTAAAAGAGTAGCCCAAGAGTTGGCGGTGAATGGTGTTGACTAGTTACCTTCCTCTAGTCTACCACTTCAACGTTAGGGATGGCTAGAGCAGATAGCCCTCGTGGAGTTTTGCGCGAAATTTCAAACAAATCAAACAACACAAGGCACAAGTTCATGCTAATACTTACTGGCACTTTCACAGTTGACAATACAAACAAACAATACAATAAATACACAGTAACACAGTAAACAATAGGGCAAGTGATTTTGGGGGTGTGAATGACAAGAGCTAATGAAAACTAATATTAAACTTATTAAAAAGAATAAGGTTAAAAGAAAACACATCAGTTTCGTTAAAATAAAAATGCTAATCAATACCTAATTATATCCTACTTGGATTTTATCAACAACGCTCCATACTCTGACTCTATAAACAGTAGAGCAAACGATAAAATCAAAGTTAATTTCACGTTTAACGAGAAAGGTCGCTAAAATCTCTTTCTTAGGGTGTGTGCGAAAACAAAACACATGGTACACTCGAGAGTCACACGGACTCTCATTCTAAATAAAAGAAGAGGTGAAAGAAATGCGGCAGACGCTAAAGGTTTCTGCTGAATACTTATAAAATCACACAAAAAGGAAACTAGGCACACCACGCAACTTAATAACACTAATGAAAAAATAAAGTGATGGAGAACTGCAAGAACTATTGAAAAAAAAAGCGACCTCTCAAGTTCAAACACTACCTTAAATATGTCAATAAACTTTTAGATTTTTAACTCGCAAAAACAGCGATTGGTTATTTCTAAATCAGTCAGTCAATGGATAATGCCCTCGCAACTATTATCTGATTGCTGACAAGAATAACTCATCTCGCTAATTAATTGATGTATTATTCTTTATTTCAATTGAATGCTCCCTTTTTAAAGACTCGAATGTTCCCTTTCTAAAGACTTGAATGCTCCATTCCTAAATACTTGAATGCTCCCTTTTTAAAGACGTGAATGTTCCCTTTCTAAAGACTTGAATGTTCCCTTCTAATGACTCGAATATTCCCTTTCTAAAGACAAAAAATGTATTACAGTCAAAGATATAAACTTTTTACTTGATGATGTTGCTTTACAATTTACAAGTTGTACTCCTTTTAGTAAAAAGGCAAAAGTGAGATAATTTGTTGTTTGGTAGTCTATAGTACACATAAGAAGCATTTATTTTGAAAGTCATCCTGTATTTTGTGAAATAGTATATATAGATTATAATAATATATATATTCTGATCCATCATTATTTCTTACAAAAAATGATTTTGTGGTAATTGAAAGCTCCTGAAGCCAAAGCCTTGACTCCCCTCCTACGATTTGAATATATACATTTCACAAACATATCTTTAAAAGTTATCAAGTGTTCCAAAAACAGCTTATGTTCACGCAATGCTTGGTGCTAATAATATGTCAGACCCGAGCAAGCATAAAGATAATACAATATAATTTGTTTATTGGAACCCCAAGTAGAGACGTTTTTAACACTTCAAACTATTATTTGCAATTTTCTTAGGGGCCCGTCAGTGCATTGCCCCGATTGCACCGACGTTGAATACGCCACTGCCCCAAGTATAAGTTACTGGGGAGAAATTTGTGATCATTTTATAGAAGTTTTCAAGTTACTGCTGTCATTTACTTCCCCTTCAATTAAGTTGAAGCAAGAGAGATGGATATAGTACATGCAATATATGATAGGGGAAACTTTACAATTGTTAAGTAAAAGGAGGCAGGATAAGAGTGCTTTAACAATTAAATTTTAAGATTCTTTCGCGGATGTACCCGTCCGTTATCCGGGTTTGTGGGTGGGGGTGGGAGTGAATGCTATGATAAACAACACAAAAATCCTAACTTTCACACAGTATATTTATAACAATTATTATTACAGTATTCATTATTACTTCACCAAAGGTTTTGTATAAGGTTTAAGAACTCAATATGTATATACATAAAACATGGTATACACTGTGCGATGGTCAGTGTGACTTTGTATTAAGAGGTAGCGATAAAATGAATGGTGGTGCTTTCTGTTACCCGCTTTTAACACCCAACTTTTAATACCCTTCCATGGTGTTTCACATGATAAATTAATTGACGGTCACTGACTGCAGAAGTGTCTTATGATGGCGAAGTTGAAACGTCACAGGTTAAAGTAGGAGGTGAGTATAACGGCTCTTCATATCAGTCGTATGGTGGCTTTTGGAGTAGAAACTTCGGCTGAGATTATGTATTATTGTAATAGTGGCGGTCATTTTTTTATTGCATTACTCCATAGAGAGTGCAAGCACACTCTCTGAAATATATAAGACGTTTGTGTGCCCTCCCCCACACCTTGTGTATGTTGTGTTATAAAAAAAAATGTGTAAGGACGTGGCGCCATCTATGAATATAGTTAACATTAGCTTACGTCAAAGATAATAAATGTTCAATAACAGCAATAATGAGGGTGGAGAGGATTGTTAGCCTCCCATGAACATACCCCTTGTTCCAAACTATCATCCCACAAAGTTTGGTTGAGATTGGCGCAGCGACCTAAGACTTAGATAAGGGACAAACAGACAGACATACAGATTTTTGTGCTTTATATATATATAGATAGAGAGAGGGAATTAGTATTTTGATTTCTGTAATGATATACATAATATTTGCAATATAAATTTATCATTTAAGCTAAATGCTCTTAAATATACTTAGCTACCACTACCACTTTGTTTAATATACCATATATATATATACATATATACAGTAGAGTGAAAGCTACTATGCAGTTAGTATATTTGGTATAGTTGGTACGGTTAGTACTAAAGAAAATATTGTGAAGGCAGTTGAAACCAGTTTAATTGATGTTTGTCTCAGTGTAAGACGTTAGAAATTAAACTATATTCTAAATTAAATAACTGTATATTAACTTTTATCCAATCTTGTGAATTTGAACATAACAGTTAGTGTAGTTGTTACATGTAATGGTCCTATATAAAATTGCCATATTTTCATGCATATAGAAACTACTTATATAATCATGTGCATCATTCATATGCAAATTATATCTCAGGATAGATAGGCTACAGCCTGGTAAGTTAGAATAAATGCTTTAACAACATGTAGAATGTGATACAAAACAAAAGCTGTTTGGTCTGACAAGAGCAGCTTAAGAGTGACGTTCACTAGCCGCCCTCTCTCTAATCTGTCACTTCTAAATTATGAACAACTAGCGCAGATATCCCTCAAGTAGCTTTGGGTGAAATCCAACGAACAAAAAAGCCAAGAACTCGTTCTAATTGCCTTTGTTCCTTTGTCATTCTTTGGAGATAATACCCATTCTTGTAATGCTGCAATTTGTGCAAGAATGTAGATAGCAGAATCTTCCAGTGGTAGGTCAGGTGATATTTCGAGTTTACGATCTTCCTTATGTTTCGAAGAGTGTTACCAACAGTGACATAGATGACACACGTAGGTTCAAGAAGTCTTGAGAGAAATGAATAAAAACCATATAATCTGAGCGCTTTCGAAAGATGGACCTTTCTTCTTCAGGGGCAAATTGGGAATGGTGGTGTAATCGAATGAGTGATATATATAAAAGGAGTTTATTTTACTTAAAACTTAAGCATAGTTTCAAACATACATATATTTATCCATTTCTAAAGCAAAATATCCCTAACACCTTTTCTCATACACGCTCGCTATCGGCTACGTTGTCCCGAAAATGAGATGCTTACAACAGTACAAAAAGAAATCGACTAAACATAGACGACACACGCATTTGGAGAATATAATCTCATAGATACTGGGTGTATAACACTATAATCTCTTAGTTAGCTTTTTCTCTCAAACTCAAGTAAGCGATGTATAAGTTCTTTCTTTGTTAATAGTAATACTCTCCTAAAGGGTAGCCTGTCAGTATAACTTTAACAAATTCTTATGAAATACCCTTATAAGTTGCTAGGAAGGTATAGAGAACTAGCTTTATAGTAACGGCGTTGTCCTTCGTCCTGTGTATGTTAATTTAATTGTGTTTTTGAGTATGAATATATATTGTTATCTTTCTCAAACTTGGTCACAGTCAGTTAACAGGGCATTACTTCCTATGTATATATACATATATAATCGATAACTTGTTTAACCAATTGTTATTAAGTGGGCCTATTCCATTCAATTTGACCTGGATATACCACAAGCTTGACTGTAACTGAATAAGACTAGAGCGTGAGCGGCCATGTTTCGTGCATTTTTCTTTCATTGCCAATTTCTTTGTATTGCCACTAGATTTTAGGCTTTCTGTAATTTTGTGGCAAATATACTCGCATAATTTTCAATGTTATTTGGTGTGAAAACGTTGCTATATGATTAAGCTTTGAAAGGTATATCTGAAATGATATGACAGAATACTTCTAATTTATTTTTCTAATATGCAATATAACTTCTAATATTGTTGCTCTATAGCTTTGAGGTTATAAGTATATAAATAATATTTTGTTTACCGCACTGGAAACCTTTAGATGTAGTTTGTAGTGAACTTAGTCATTATCATATCGTCATAAATATTTTTGTATATTCTAAAAATGCTCGTCTGACTTTCTGTCTGTTTATCTATATAACTACTATTTTAATTTAATAGGCTGAAAAAGATGTCTTTCATGAAAAATTAAAATGTGTCGTTAGAACAGCGTATTATTCAGCAAAAGTAGCTAAAGTTGCGATAAAAATATTTGAATCTCCATTACTACTGCGAGATCTTAATATACATAAAGGCATTATATACTTTTGAACTTATTTATTTATTTTCATTTTGTAATTTGCGGTTTTTTAAAATCAACCAATTAATATAAATTTAGGACTGTGTATAATGTGATTTAATTACTAAAGCGCTCTCTGGCGTCCTTAAATTACATTATCTGAATCTAGAGAAATTATTAACTGCAGAATTAATACTATTGTGTTAGTGCTATGTTTGTTGATATTTGGTGTACTGTGTACGTTGTTTTTCACTTACAGGTAAAATTTATTATAATTACTGTATAAATATATGCTTACATATTACAAATATATAGTGTAAAATTATATTACTATTACACTTGAAATTTAATGTTATTCACTTATTGTTAATTTATTAAAAATTAAATATTACTAATATTAATAATAATATTAGGACGTTGTGTCTTGTAAATATTAATAAGTTAATTATGTAATGGTTGTTATGTGATTATTTAGCATATAACTGTAAAATTAAAAAAAAAGATGTAAACTTGAACTTCGTAATTTGTAGGCGAGAGCCTAGCTCTACCATTACTACTATATTACTACTAGGTCAGATTCAATACATCTGTAGCCTATGCCTATTATAAAGTTGACTAGTTGTAGTTAAGTCTTGTACATTATTCAAATTTTACTATTACTAGTATTAGTAATAACAGCATAAACTGTAAGTGATATAACTTTAGTTTCCCTGAATACAGAATATTCTGAAATTTAAAACAAAGCTGTAAAACTTAGAACTAACTTAGTAGAACTTGTTAAGGAAATTATCATGTAAAGGAGGATTCGTTTTCATCAAGAAATGATTTTCAGGTAAGATACACAGTATTATTATAGAGCACAAGTTTCTAGACATGAAGCTACTTAAAGGGAAAACTAATCGTTCAGTTTCTTGAGATTATAGAAGGGAAACAAAATTTGAAAGGGAGGATATGGAAAGATAAGGAGGTAAGAAAAGATAGATTGAAGATTGAGTAACAAGTACTTTCTGGTCATTTTTTGAAAAGTCTTATGATAATTAAAGAGAAATAATGTCTTACTACAAAATAGTTTTCCCTCAGTTGATCACTGGAAATTTATCTGAATGAAGGAAAGTGAAATAATGCATGGAAATGTCCAGTGTAAAATGCCCACTGCCACTGATGTGAAAACAAAATTGGTTAAACATGCCGTCACATAAGAACAGTTTTTAGTGTTTTGCCCCCCAAAAATAGCATTCTTTCAGAAGGTATTTGTATGAAATGATAAAAACTCCTGTGATGGTTGAGAAATGAGTTCAGAAGCAAAAAGGCAAGTGAATTTGAAAACAAATGAACTAAGAAAATGAAAATTTTATTAAAGAATAAATTAATATGTCATGCTGGATGGAACTGATATGTGAACTAAAAAACTACATCCATTGGGAGAATTCTTGCCCTTTTGAGAAGGTAAATGATATGTTCTTTTTGTTATAGCAGCATAAAATTTTGTTTTTCTTTACAACCACATTTAATTTTATATTACAGGCATTTTAATTCAAAATTGACAAATAATGCAGATAAAGCTGTATGATAACAAATCTCTCAAATGTAAATCTCGTACTATTTTGTTGATGAACATAATAAACCAAGAACTTTCTAAATACATATTAGTACAAGTAAATGTTTGCTAATGTTTTGACTTATTTCTTTTCACTTTTATCGAAATTCTACTTGAATTAAAAAAACTACTTCAAAGTAAGCACTTAGGAACCAATGGATCGCCAAATAACTTACTAATTTTGGTCTAAAATAACCCCAAATACTTTTCTTCAATCATTCCACTTGAACAGCTATAAAAGTAAAATAGGTCAACATATCAAAATGTTTTTGTTTTTTTATTATGTCTAGCTACTTTTCTTAGCCACATGTTTTCATCTACTTCTAAGTTCCATCAAAGAAATTGTTCTTTCATTTATCATTTGACAATTTGTTTGCTGTGGCTTTCATTCCATTCCCATCTAATTTCATATTGATAGAATTCTAGAAAACAGTATGTCTTTCCTTCCAGTATTGGTACCTTTATATATTTTTATTGCACTTTTAATGTTTATTATGTTAAGAAAAAAAAATAGAAGGACATTTTCCTATCCTTTGTTACAAACAAGCTTTTCAAAGGCTGAGTACTCCAGTTAGTATTGTATAAAAATATGATCAGGCCTTAACTGGACTACTGTGTGTATATCTTTGTTCTTCTTAACACAAGCATAATATTACAATGTTGAAATGAGTGCCAAAAAAATTGTTAACTAAAATGATACTTGGTTTAATATATTTTGTCTCTGAAGAGAGAATTTAAGTTAGAATTTTTTGTGAGTTGCAGAGCACTGTAGATGACTTCCTTCAGTTGCACAAAATTATGAGGGGTTTATACAGTGTTCCTGTGGGCAGTTTTTACTAGTATTGGAATTTGAGGTAGAAAATTTGAAATTGAATATTGGGATGACAGGTTTATGCTTTGGTATTGTGTACACTGACTTTTATTCAATATAATTATTTTTCTAGTTGTAGTTATCATTTGGAATGGTTCACTTAAGCATGTGGTGTTAGCCTTTTGAATTATTCAAATAAGTTTTCAATGATGTGGGTAGTACATTTAACGTGGAATTCAGCTAGTTCACATGCAATGTTTGTGTAATACTACTTTGTTCCTAAACTACTATTAAACAGGTTCAACTTGTGATTAGTGGCTGACTACAGTAATTTTTTCATCAGTTTTGATTTTTAATTTATTTTCAGATTTATAATCTTACAAGCATTAAAAAGAAAAAAAAAACAATCCAAGATTTTCCAAATACTCCTTCATATAATTATGGCTTCAAGTTCTCTAAGTCAAGAAGATGCTGATCATGACTTTGAAATATCATCACGTCGATCTCGTATTCGTACTGCAAGAGCTAATGCAAGAAATGTCCCCACATCTAGCAGAAGTGCTGTAACTGATGGAGTTGGTGTCGGCGATGCAGAAGCCAGTGTTCAAGTAGGACCAGTTTATACATCTGGTATTGGGACTTGTGGTGTGGCAGATAGTTCTGGGATAACATGTGGAGTAGTTGACCAAGATATTTCTCCTAAACCAACTTCAAGAGTTAAGGATAAAAGATGCCCACGGCCAAATCATGTAAATAAAGGGAAGGCTCAACGTGAGAGAAGGAAGCTACGTGAAAAAAGGAGAAGTACAGGAGTGGTACACCTTCCATCAACAGAGGTGAGAAATTGCTCTGAACTATTTTTGTATCTGAATCTTTAATATTTATATTGTCAACTCAGGTTAATGGGGAAAAAAGAATCTAAATACAACCAGACATCACCCGACATCAAGCCAAATGCTTTTAAACTTCACCTTCAAAGTTCTGACTTTACGTTTTGTTGTTGCCAATATTTTCAGCTCAGTTGGCTGCATGTTGTGTTAAAGATGATGACCAATATCATCATGCTTGGTGCAAAACTCCTAACATGAGCCAATCAGATCAACTAGATGTGATATGCTTATCCATATTTTTTCAACTTGGCATGCATAATATAGGCATAAGCCAATCAGATCACCTAGATGCTATATGCTTATCCATATTCTTTCAACTTGGCTTTCATAATATAGGCATAAGCCAATCAGATCACCTAGATGCTATATGCTTATCCATATTCTTTCAACTTGGCTTTCATAATATAGGCATAAGCCAATCAGTATGCTCAATCTAATTTCCTCACCAAGAACATGTCAATACTGTTCACATACATCAGTTATTATAGAAAGTGTGTCAAAACCAAAAACAAACAGTTGACCATATATTGTACTGATAGACATAGTTGTATTCATTAATGTCAGTAAATTATGGAAAGTTATCAATGATTGGGAAAAGTGTCATGTGTCATTTTTGATGCACAGATTACTGTATTTTTAATTATTAACTATGAAAGATATGTACCATAAAGCAGTATAATTTGAAATTGCCTTTATTCATTAATTTACAGTTACATTTGCACTTTAAGTATGCAGTAAAATCAAAATTATATACTGCTGCTCACAATGGTTTTGTTCATTTGCTTAGAATGTTTAGCAAATTGGTTAGATATAAAACCTTTAGACAAATCTGAACCATATTCTGGCCAGAAATGAAAGGCCGATGAAAAATTAGAGAACAAAAGTCCAAAAAAAAGTTTCATTAAATTTTGAGTTAGAAAGATTCAGTATATGCAAGATATCAAGAGATTTTGGTACTGCTCAATTTGTAAAGATGCAGGAAAAAGCAAGGTGTATGTATGAGGGTTCAAAAGACCTGCTAAGACTACAAATCATGATTGCCATTAAAAATGTGTGTTAAATAAGTTAAAATAAATAAAAAGAAAAAATGTAGTGAATATAGAAAATTGTTTTATATTATTTATGCTAAAGACAAATATATAAAATAGTTTTCTTAAATCCTAAAGAAAAAGTTTCTAATTTGAAAAACTATTATTATCATTATTTAATACTTGGTTGAAAAAGTATTTAATTCTTCTTTTGACGTCACTAAATTGCAGACGTTATGAGGCAATGAAATTCGTCCTGAGGTCAGATCAACCAGCACCTTTCCGTTCCCAATTTCCAGAAATTGATGTGAGAATATCTCAGTTGATCGATCGTTTTGCAGCTGGACACGCATATTTGTAGTTAATTTTAACGTATTTACGTGTCGCCACAAAGTAGAGTATTTCAGGTAAGCATTTATTTCGTCCGCTGGTGTCGATCGAGGAATTATAGGTAATGTTTGCCTGAAATCTTCTGCAAGCAATATTAATGCGTCCCCAAATGGTCTGATGTTTCCACGCAAATCTTGCAATAATCGATCAAGAGCCTCGAGCGATTTTTTGTGCGCCATTGTGCATTCATCCCAAACAATAAGTTTGCATTTCTGCAATACTTTTCCCATGCCGGATGCTTTGGAAATGTTGCACGTGGGAGTTTCAATGAATTGCATGTTCAATGGCAATTTCAAAGCGGAATGAGCAGTTCTTCCACCTAGTAGCAATGTCGCAGCTATTCCGGACGACACAAGAGCTAAGGCTATGCCATTTTGGGATCGAATTGCTGCCGGAATCAATCTGATAAGGAACGTTTTACCAGTTCCTCCTGGCGCATCTAAGAAGAAGATTTCTCCAACCT